TCATGTGACCAAATGGGGACAAACAAGCGACAGGTCTTCATGTGAGGCAACAGCGCTTAAATAGTGTTGCTGACTGAAAAAACACAAAGAAATCCCGACTCCGTTGACACCAATGGGCCAAGAATTAAAAAAATAAATCCTTGCAGATACCAAATAATTTAGTAGTTAAAAAAAGCATTTGTTGCTTTATTAGAACATTAATCAAAGCAAAGGAAAACCATCAAGATGCAGAGTGAAGTCCACCAACTCCATAAAGGTAAATTTTAGATGATATTCTTCTGCATATTTTTAAATCATCATTTGGATTAGTCATGAATAAAAACTTTGAAACACATCAATCTACCTGCTATTATTATCCTTTCTGTTCCAGCTATAAACAGAAATATTATTTTTGTGATATTTGGTGGTAATTAGTCCACATGTTCAGTTGTTTGACAGCCCTACAGAGAATAATACACAGCAACAGACCTAAAATGGCCATAAACTCCTGCTGTGATTACAAGACGTCATCACTGCATGATATCATGTCATACTGACCACAGCGTTTTTCCTACAGCATGTCTCATCAGCTTCCTCTTCGATGGACAAGGAAGTTTGTGCAGTATATTTAGAAGAGGTTACCAAAAAAACTTCCAAGTAGGAAGTTCATATTCATTACAGCTGAAAACAGTCTTATCAGGTCACATGTTTGAAGTGCAACTTGCATGTAAACCTCACTTCACCATCTCGTCATCTAAATTATTACTGGGCTTTATGCTAATATGTTCATAATGGCCACGAAACAGAAAAATAACAGCCTCAAAACAAGAACATCGGTTAATTTGTTCAAAGTACACCGGAGCCTGCTAGGAAGAACATCACGCTCTGGTGTCAACACGACAATAATTAACTACATCAAATTTCCCCGACTGTCACATCATAGCACATGAATAAACAGAGTGGAGTGTTCAGAAGATAAACTCAAAATGGGTTTAATTTATATATATTTCTACTGTAATCTAATGTTGAACAACCACCACTCCACACACACACACACACACACACACACACACCCTGGTGGTTGGTAATATCTACAGGTGCATGAATCACAACAGATAATGTCCAGTGACCATGGAAACAGACACCCTAAGAAAATCAGGCCCAATAAAATGCTTTTTGTACTGAGCTCATGAAGTAGCATCAGGTCGTGACTGTTACAGTGTGTGTACCAGATAAAACTAAAGACAAAAATATGTCACGGTCACTTTCAAGACAAAATGTCTTTTGTGAATTATCACTTGGAAAATAAATTTGACTATTTGATAATGATTGGATTTCAGAAATACCAGGTCTGTGTTCTCTCTCTTTTATTTCCAGATGCAACAACTAGATTTGGACTAAAACTTTCCAGGACATTTTTCAGCTGCCTCAGCTGGACAGACAAGCAATGGCATTGTCCAGTAACCCTGATGCCCCTGCTCTCCCTGCACGTGTTGAAGTATGATTTCTGTTTTTCATCACAGTTGTGTTCACCTTGTGCATTCACTAACAGTATCTGATGTTATGCTACAGATGCAACTTAAAAGTTCAATAAAATTAGAGCTTTGCAAAAAGTTTCTTTTTAAGTAGTAAGGAGGTTAGAAACAGTCACAGTCACATTCAGAGGTGATTTATAACAAATAATTTTGCAAAGCTTTGTTTTTTTTTTCCTTTTGCAAGGTCACTTGTGGAAACAGCAGGAGGTTTTTTTGTATTTTCTTTCCTTTTTTTCTCACAAACTTATGAAAAGAACTGTGGTTTACGCAGCACTCGTGTACAATCAGGGAAAAAGAGCAGTGTGTCCAGACTGTTTCTATGTTTCAAGAACTCTGATCAGTTCAAATGGTTTCATATTATGGTTTGACGCGACAGTTTGCTCATTTTAACATCAATTGTAGATTAGTTTTTATTATTTTGTTAGCTCTAAATATTAGTTCTGCTGTTGGGTTTCACACGCACTATTACTGTGACTCACATGAGGCCTGCAGCGCCGTAGACAACATGGAGGTGGACGCAGTAGGTGAGAAGATGAAGTGAATGAAGAGTCATATATACTGTAGAAATAACCTCAGTGGAACTGAGGCAACAACAACGTTGTCCCTCAGCCTTCTGTGGTGCAGGTACCTGCACGGCCGTGTTCTTTTAATGCATCCTCCTAAAAGCATCATGTCTGCTCAGGCCCCAAAGAGATTAATTAGCCACCTCAGCAACTGAAGTGGCTGCTGATATAGAAACTCAAGTCAACAGGGAAGATAAATTACCTCAGCTAAAAGCTCAAAGTTCAGCTCTTTTTCACACAAACGGTGTCTCTGAAGACTCTGGAGGTCCATAACTACATCACTATCTGGTGTTAGCGAGCAGGCGGCCAAAGCTTTGTTCTCATTCCTGTCCTGTGTGTCAGTAAGGGGGCATCGCTGTTTTTAACTAAGTGATTGTTTTACTGTACATACATTTTTAAAATTAAAAAATAGGACACCCACGGTGTGTGTCACTACAAAAAGTAGGACACGAGCAGAGGACTAATTCTCCACTGATTTAAATGCTGCCTTTTTCTAACCAGCTCTGAGCAGAGCGACCTGTCTGACTAAGAAGAACTTATACATTTACTGCACTTCCATTCATCCCTTCAACATCTACAGCTCAAGGCTTCTGTTAAACCGGAAGGAATCTCAATGCTGCCTATTTGGGTCTGCGACATTGGGTTGTAGAATCTCATACAAATATAAAACCACATCAAAATATTCCAGAAGTTGAGAACAATTTATCGTTATCTTTGAATAATAGATATGCATCGATATCTTTTTTTTTTGTCTGATGCAAAGATTTCGTGGAGGAACACAAAATAAAAAGTGCAGATAAATTATAGGAGAAAATCTGAATTTCATTGAACATTTGACTGTAACAGTGTGGTTTCAGCTGAGTCAGACTGTGTGGCAGCAGTATTTCTGTTTTTGCTGTATGTGGAATATCTGGCCCTGTATTGAGCTTATAACATAATGTACCAGGGAAAGAAAAGATGGATGAGTAGAGTATGGGACAATGAGGACGATAAATCACAGTGGTGTTCAGGTCCACTCATAAAGACCACTTTAACACCACAGCAGTAAATGACTACATGCATATTCTCAGCATTAACTTTATTATATTCTGATCAGCAGGTCTTCAGCTGTAATGGTTTTATAACTTTTTTTTTTTTTTTTTACCTTGGATGAGTCACATCTCACATGTTCCTGCTGCAGTCACTTTACTAGGCCAGGGACAGAGACTTTCACTGTTTGTTTGTATTTTCTGCTTAACTGCTAACTGAACCATAACATTTTTTATATAAGTATTCAGATAGAAATTCTTTTCAAACTGAAGATTTTTTTTCTGTGTTTTTCTTTTACTTGTGCAGATATTTCTGTCTCCTTGTCAAACCATGTCTGGTTCTGTTGCAGATGTACTGCTTTCCTTATCAGAGTTTGCCAAATGTTTATTCAAAATGGACTCATCCATACAGTACTTCCAGAAAAAGGCTCGGGGCCTCCACTGGAGGAGTCAGGCGACAACACCAGCGTTGAAAGTGTTTACACACACACACACACACACACACTCATGACCGCCGCCTGAGAGCCCATCTACTTCCAGACGACTGACCCGTGTTTGTCAGTGCCACAGTCGTGCTGCGCGGCTGACATCCTCATTCACACCTCCTCCCAACCCTCACATCCCCACTCAGCCAGCGCTGGGCAGTTCACATAAAGTGCCGAGCTGGTTTTCAAGTTTATCATCCTTTGAAAGCATGTTTATAGGAGGCGATCGGCCTCTTTATGAAGTGCACAACAGAGCGGGGCAGACGACGGCCGCTGCCACACACGTCTCGACACAGATGTAGAAAAAACACTGAGAACGCACTCAGAAACACTAAGTTAAATATTAATAACTCCACATTAAGGCCACGTGTGTGCTGAGCGTGCGCTGGTTAAAAGTGTTTTTGTGGACAGATAAAAGAGAAATTAAAAAAATATATAAAAATAACAAGGCTACATCTCTACATATCTCTGTCATAAACGTGATCCAAACATAAAGCTATGAGTGTTTGCAAATATAAAGCCTAGCAGCCCATGTCTCTGTCAAACCAGGAGCTAAAACAAGTAATGGTGGTGGTGTGTGTGGGAGGGTGGGTGAGGGTTGCACACAGAGTGCGCTGCTCCTCCTCCTCCTCCTCAGCACAAACCTGTCTACATGTATCTCTCTGGCCCTCAGCCATGCTGTCTAGTCTAAAGCTGGACAGAAAAGTGCTGATGGGTCCAAGTCATTATCTGCAACCTCAGGGTTGAATGGAGGAGATGAAAGGCTCCTCACAGAAACAGACAAAACATCACCTCACACCACCTGCAAGGCTGTTCTGATAGACTGCCTGGCACCAGATGAAGCAATTCCACCTCTCTTCAGTGCTTTGTGTGGAGGAAGGAAATATTCTGGACACAGACTGAAGGGAAAAGTCAAATGCCCTTGTTATTTGAAGAATCTCCAACAGTACAATGTCAGTTTGTGCCTGAATCTTTCACGTGCACACACTCTCACATGCACTCAGACATTGACAACTGTATATATAAATATATATCATCTTTTTGAACTTGTTCCAATAATGCAGCTGCAAGCTGCTTTCACAACAACACATTTAGCAACGGAAAGGTTTTTTTTTTAATCGCAGAAGCAGGAAAAGCATGGGAAAAAAGACAGGTTTGTCAGATCAGTGAAAGGTCCCGGACACTAGTTACCTAGAAAAGAGAGAAAATACTTAGAGAAGACACACTCTGGTTTTCACGTACAGGAAAATAAACTCTGCAGAGTCGTGAGTCTCTGCTTGGAAAAAGAAGAGAAAGAAAGAACTGGAAAGGAGAACGGCAGCGTTAAAATTGAACATAGAACAAGGACGACGACGACAACAGAAGACAAAAAGGACAAATGAGAAGACGAGAGGACAAACGCTGTCCTACCTGTTTGGCTGAGCTGAGAGGTGCTCCTGCTCTTGCGCGACATGCCAACCATGGCCTGCATTTTGGCACCAATGCTGGAGCGCCTCTTCTTGTCGTCGATGCCGACCGTGCCAACGGCCGTGTCTGATTGGCTGCCGTCCGTCTTCTCCAGGTTACACATGTCACCGCTGATGCTTGTGCTCTTGGTAATGTTCATGCCGCCTGTCGAGCCCATTTGCCTGTGTTTCATTTTGGATGCAAAGTCACTGTCAGCCACCACCATTGTCAGGAGGGAGGCAGGCGAGGATAGAGAGGAGAGGAGAGGGGAGAGGAGAGAAGGCGATGTGGAAGGAGACACAAGGGAGAAAGAATTATGTGGAAAGGAGAAAAATGAGGAGAAACAACAGAAACAGGAAAAGTGAAGGTGAAGAGGAGAGAAGGATAGAGTTTAGGTTCAGGAGGTCATGGCAGTGTTTTACACTATAGTTATGGGTATAAGTGGCTTCAGTTCCTGTCAGAACAAATAGCATTATTATATTATTAAAAACAGTAAAACAACAGTATTAGATTAGTAACTACTCAATTTCTATTATCATTGTTTTGGTAACTGTAAATATTAAATAGGTAAAAATGTTGAGCGTGCTCGTGTCTGCAGACATTAGTGCTGCTGCAATGTTCTCTTATCCTTTTCCTATAAAGTCAGTAGGTTTTGAAACTAATTTTAAACAACTTTAATCCTCACTTATTTTTGATTTCAGTCACCTGAATTCACCTTTATTTCGTGTGTTGCATTTCTCACACAGAACCTGCATGACTGAGTTTAGAGAATCTGTTACATCTGACACTTTTCCTCTCAACAGTCAAAAATCTAAAAGCAAATGTGTGTATTTTAACTTAAAAGTTCAAGTTTATAAATTGGTAAAGCTTGTGTTTTATTTGCGTTTCACTGAGCTTCAGTCGTCTGTCTGAAGAAATCTGTTTATTATCCACGCTCTGGTCCATTTGACTCCACGTCAACACCATATACTCTGTTTGGCAGCCAGTGCCAGTAGTGAGAATGTTCAGATACACTGTGAGAATGTAACTGATCTGCCTGTGTTTATACCAGCTCTGGTGCCAGGAGCTTCTGTTATGGATCAGCCTGTACTCTATTACACAAATATCAAGGAACTGGTGGCTTTGATCTTTTGATACAGCTTTAAAGTTTGGAATTCAATGAGTCCTACAAACCACATTTACATCATGTGGTTTGTGCAAAAGCTTGTGATGCGATAGTTTATCAGCGTAACAGTGAAGTTTCTAGGCCAGCAGAGAGTAGAGGTCAGGGATCATGACCTGTAAAATTATTACCTGCCGACATTGTTATAAATTATACAGACTCTTTCAAACAGAAATGCATACTCTAGGAAGTATCAGCAGTTTGACATTTTAATTCAATGTTCATTAATCCTAAACCTTTTTAATTTGTCTGTCCCGCCTGCAGTCCAGATCAGATTTTCTCATCATGTGAGTGACTGTAAGCTATTTAGCTGTTGCTTTAAACTGCTAGCATGGACAGAATCCATTATTCAAAACCTAAAATGAGACACGACCTAGTAGTCATAAGTTAAAACAACGAAAATCCATTATTTCCTCTCTTTATCTTCAGATTAGTGTTGGCAAAATGCATAGGAAGATCCTGAGTCAAATGTCATAAAAAGCCACTAAAAAGTTCAACTTAAAATGTTCAACTCTGTTCAAACCTGTTAGTGAATAACATGTTGGTTTTAAATGGTTCATTTTACAGCACTGACACAGAAATTATCGCTCATGTGGCACCATGGTCGTTGTACACCTTTCGTTAATTATTTGCTGGCTCACAAACACAATAATTAAGGGTGAGAGAGCTTGAGATGTTTGCTCTTTACTTCTCTCACCTCATGCACATAATCTGCCGGGACTGACAACAAGACTGACAACAAGACTGACAACAAGCTCAAAGGTAAAACCTGCTGCTGTTTGACTGTCATTTGGCCCTGTAAGTTTTACTGCAACAACAAATTATTTTTACCTCTTCTGCAGTGCACTACAACCTCTGTCCACACCTCATCTTCTTGCAGTCACTTCATTCACTGAACAGTTCTTAGCATTTAGGACAGTAACAGTGTGTAATAAATCAGGCTGCTTGGAAAACTCTGGAAGTCTCCAGGGAATTCCTGCAGTACACCAACACAGCCTACAGAACACACAGTTCCATCCAAACGTCCCTCCCTGTAACAACATCGCTCTTCTCTCAAAAAGCTGTATCTCATGTAGTGTTGTAATGTTTGGTCCAAGTTTTATTATATTTCTAAATGATCCACAGGTGATCTTTATGAACTCTGTAGTCAAGGTGTTCTGCAATAAACTTCAAAAAAGTCAATAAAGACACCGTCAGAAGAAGAAATACACAGCACCTAAATGTCATCCTTAGACCCACATCTTATTTACCTTTCACTTTTTCCTAACGATGTGAGACAGAAAATATTAGTTTCCATAGTAACTGGGGCGCCAGAATTAGCATAAGGATGCACAGGTGTCTGTCAACACAAAGATAGAAACTTTGTTTTGTCTCTAAGACCCGGAGTGAGCCGAGCATCTCCAGCTCGTATTGAACTGTTATGTAGAGCTGCGTAGGCTTGGCCTTACCTCACACCTCTCACACTGTTGTTGAGAGGTGTGAGCAGAGTGTGAGCAGAGGAGGTTAAAGTAAACAACCTCTAAAAAACAAACCTCTAAAAACACCGACTCTACCTGAATGAACCGTTACCTGGGTAACAATATTCAGTCAAGGCGAGAAACAAGGGCGGGAAGAGAGGACGCAGGTTTTTAAAAAGTGCTAATGGAATGCCCCTCACATCCTGAAGTGCACATCAACCCGACGCAGAGTGCGCTTAGCTTGGCTTTTTGTGCAGTGAAAGCACCGCTGGCTGCTGTGTCACTAACACGGCAGTTTGGACCACGTCTGTTTAATGTGTGGCAGATGTCCTGTAAATTTACACTCTGTCCTGAATACATAGAAGATGAGTCAT